TGCAGAACATGCCGATCTGTGTATCTTTTGGAATGTGAGTGTAAAAAGCAATACATTGGTATTTCCATGCGCATGATTAAAGTTAGAATTTTGGAACACCTTTCTCAAATCAAAATTCCATTATGACAGCTCCTCTCGTTGAGCATTTTGTTATGACCCACCATGACCCAGAAAAGTTAATTTTTTTGTTATTTACAAATATACACCACAGAAATACAAGTGTCATAATATACAGAAATTTCTATTGCAAAAAGAAGCAAGGTACATCTTTGAATATAGAATGTTTTCACCTTATGGTTTAAATAAAGAACTTGACTTATCCTCTTATTTGTAGCCTTTTATTTGTGTTAAATATATTTATTTATTTAATTACATTTGTATTCCGCCCTCCCCGCAACCAGGCTCAGGGCGGCTAACAATATTTGGCATAGTGCACCAAAATTCATACAAAACATTTAAAACCATTTAAAACAATTAAAAATTTACAATTAAAGTGTTCACAGTAATCAATTAAGTCAAGATGGCATGCCATATAATACAGCACCCAATGTTCTCAGTTCAATAGTCTCTGGACTCCTCAAGGTGGTATGACACAATCTCAGTTTGGCTGGCCTTATACCACAGGTATTAATTGTAGCCATTGGCGGTAGTGGTGGGCGGCTCCTAATTGTAGGCCTGGTGGAAGAGCTCCATCTTGCAGGCCCTGCGGAATTGCGCAAGATCCCGCGGGGCCCTGATCTCCTCCAGGAGGTCATTCCACCAGTAAGGAGCTGCCACTGAAAAGGCCCTGGCCCTGTTAGCAGAAAGCCTGGCATCCCTGGGGCCAGGAATAACTAGTCAATGTTGTGACCCTAACCGTAGTGCTCTCTGGAGTATGTATGGGGAAACATGGTCCAGGTATGTCGGACCCTGGCCATATAGGGCTTTAAAGGTAAGCACCAGCACCTTGAAGCGAATTTGGTACACTATTGGCTGCCAGTGCAGCGCCTTCAGCACAGGCATGATGTGCTCCCATCTGGGGAGACACATCAGCAGCCTAGCCGCAGCATTCTGCACTAGCTGCAGCCTCTGGATTTGTGACAAGGGCAGCCCCATGTAGAGAGTGTTACAGTAGTCTAATCTTGAGGCAACCATCGCGTGGATCACTGTAGCCAGGTCATCGTGATCGAGGAAGGGAGCCAACTGCCGTACCAGCCAAAGATGGTAAAAGGTGGACTTAGCAGCGGCTGCTACCTGGGCCTCCATAGCTAAGGAGGGATCCAGGAGCGCTCACAAGCTCCTAACCACCGACGCAGGCACCAATGGTGCCCCATCAAAGGTCAGCAGTGGGAGCCCCAACCCCGAACCACCCGGACTCAGGCACAGGACCTCCGTCTTCACCAGATTTAGCTTTAGCTGACTCAGTCTGAGCCAACCAGCCATGGCATGCAAGGCCCAGTCCAGATCTTCCAGTCTGGAGTCCGACTGGCCGCCCAACATCAGATAGAGCTGGGTGTCATCAGCGTGCCCATACCTCTGGATCATCTGGGCAAGGGGGTGCATATAGATGTTAAAGAGCATTGGGGAAAGCACCGCCCCCTGAGGCACTACTCACTCAAGCGGGTGCCTCCAGAACTGCTGTTCCCCTAGCACCACCCTTTGTCCCTTGGAGAAAGGAAGCAAGCCATTGGAAGGCAAACCCCGATATCCCCACGTCGGCGAGGTGGTGGGTCAGTAACTGGTGGTCAACCGTATCAAACGCAGCTGACAGATCTAACAGCAACAGCGCTGCTGAACCACCCCGATCCAGATGTCTCCGGAAGTCATCAATAAGGGCGACCAGCGCTGTCTCCGTCCCGTGTCCTGGGCAAAAGCTGGACTGGAAGGGATCTAGTACGGAAGTGTCATCCAGAAAGCTCTGCAACTGTATCACCACCGCCCTCTCGATTAACTGGCCCAAATAGGGCCCGTTGGAAACCGGCTGGTAATTAGCCAATTCAGCCAGATCCACAGATATACTCTGTGACTTTGAATGCACTCTGTGATTTTAAATGATTCAAGCACAATTAGCTTTAAGTACGCAAGCTGAGTTTGTGCATGTAAGAACCGCTTTGCCGTAAGGAGTATAACGAGCCCTTGTGGGAGTATGATAAGAAAATATGTAAACTGTGTGGGTAAGTCAGGTTTCAAATTGTTAATAACAAGGTTTGAAGTGTGTTTTGAATATCTGTATACAAGATGTTGTGCGTGTTTTGTTATTTGTATCAGCTCCATAAGAATATATTGGCTCTGAAGAAGTTAATTCGAAACCCTCTCGGCCGACAGGAGACGTCAGCCTAGTTTTTCAGCCTCCCTGCAGACCTGAAGGTTTGAAACTAAGAAACAGCAAAGAAGATTACAGTGTTTTCAAGGACTGTATACAGCCCATTTACTGGTCTTGCTTTAGGAAGGCTTCTTTACACTAGTGTATTTGTTTCATAGCTTTTGTGCTTTAATAAGCAATAAGTACATATGGATTGTAGTAAATGATTTATAGCTTAATCTCCATGCATGATTTTCTCATTTATTATGTTTGAGGCATATGCCTTAAGTAACACCTTAGTGGTATTTGACCTTGAGCAATACGTTCTCTCCACGTATCTCCGTGGTTCTGTTGTATTTAGTGAAACCTAATCTGGAGCAGCCAGTCCCTTCGTGGTGGGATGAAATAGTGAGGGGGCATAATGCCAAAACACAGGGTGTAAATCTGAGTAAGTAGTATTTTCTTGTTGAAAATCTGTGCCTTGAATTTCCGTTAGAGTTGTCAATGCCACAGGTAGAAATGTAGCCCCCCTAATCTGCTTTTAAAGTCAAGACATTTTAAGGCTGCTAGGTTTCGCACACTGAATTCTCTCCCATTATATATATTTTTATAACTGTTTATTAAATTTCGAACTTCATCTTAATACATTAAAACAGAGAAATAACATTAAATATTCGATAAAATTGATTAAGCACACAGAGTAAAGAAACAAAACTACCAAAAAACAAAAAATAAATGTTATTCAGTTGATGACACTGAGAGCCCTATCGAGTTAAAAGGCTGCACAACCCATTATGTCTAACTAAACTTCAAATGCTGAAAACACAAGTAACAAACTCTCACCCTAGGACAAGCATCTTAAATTTTGGTGACTTTATGTGTTCCCAATCAAACTTATCCAAATTCATTTTATCAATAATGGGAGCCCATTTATCTAAAGGGTTTAATAAGTGACGTTCAGCGTTCTCTCCCATTATAGTGTACGTGATTTATAAGTGCTTAACTTTGCAGTAGAAGAACAAGGCTCAAATCCAGCAGCACCTTAAAAAGCAACAAGATTTCCAGGGCGTAAGCTTTTGAGAGTCCAAGCTCCCTTTGTCAGATACCAGCTTTAACTCTCAAAAGCTTATGCCCAGGAGCTCTTGTTGTTCTTTAAGGTGCTGCTGGACTCAGATCTTGCTCTTCCACTGAAATCAACACAGCTACCCCCCCCCCCAGACTAACTTTGCAATAGGTTGTCTCTGTGACAATGCATGGTTAATGTGTTAAAGGTTGATGATAATCCATTTTATGTGATTGTGTGGGTGCACCAAAAGACATGTTGGCCACCCTGAAATGATGATTCTTCCATGAATCCAGGAAGTTCTTACCATAATCTGAGCACATGACAGGTAGACTGTACAAGGCTAAGATCTGAAGCAGATTGAAATCCTTCCAGGAGCACGGAGTTCTATCAAACAGGATTGTATTTGATTGGGGGCAGAAGGGGGATATGGCCTAGACTGCTCGTGTGCCTTTAACAGGAGCTTGATGTGCAGAAGTTGATAACTGAAGCTTTTCACAACATGAAGAAAAATGTAGTTACCTGCCAGCTTTTGCACACCTGAGTGCTGTTTGAGGCAAAGATTCAGTGGCTGGTTAAAAGGTTGGGGACCCTAAAAACTAGCTGAGATTTGGAAGCTGGCTGGAGATCTAGGCTGTGATATAAAGAAATTGGCAGGTTTCCAACTGAGGTTGTGAAAGGCATTAGAATTTATTCTTTCCCCCAGAATTGATATCTTGATAACTGCCACAAGTGAGCCTTGAATCTGGCAGGCCTCAAAGGAATACTGGGCTTCTTAACCTGGATGCCAAATGGGTAGTGTTTCTACTTTGCCATCCCTGTTGGTGGTGAAGTTCCGGAGAGCTGGAGAGGGTACCTTCCTGGCACCTCTTCTGCATCAGATCCCAAGTCTGGCTCCTGGTTGTCATAATCAAGACCCCAGTCTGGAGCACAGGTCCTTCATCACCTCTCACAGGCCCTTCAAACTCTGGGGCAAACTTCTCAGCCCATGGCTTAATTCAATCCTGACCCCACCTCTCCTAGACTCACCCAATCCCAACCCATCTTGGTGGTCCTCCGGTTTCTTTTCTCTCTCTTTCTCTCTCTTTTTTGTATTTGTGGGTTTGTGTGTATGTGCTTACGAACCTGGAAGTCATGGTGACTTCTGGCGACCCCTAGTGGGGCTAGGATGTTTCAGAGAGGTGGCTTTGATATTACCTGACTCTGCCTCCCTGCCCTGGTCTTCCTTGGAGGTCTCCTTTCAAAGAACTTTCCAGGGTTGGCCCTGCTTAGCTTCCGAGATCTGATGAGATCAGGCTTGCCTGGGCTACCCAGGTCAGGGCTGGTCCTCCTGTTTCTGATGCCCAAACAGAACCTCTTCAGCACCATCATTTTTGTTGTTTTGAATTAATGTCCTTATCAAGTTGCATTCTTATTGTCATTAAATTGATTATAAGTACCATCCAGATGGATAAACTGTAGTCGGCTAATGAAAGCAGATTGCTTTTCTTGTCTCTTTGCTGTTCTCATAATCATGGTTCTTTGCAAAAGCTCAATTTCTTTGCTAGTGCAGCTAACCCAATGGCCTCTTTCCTCTGGAACATGGTTACTCAGCATGACAAAGGAGCAGGAGGACTGGTAGTAAGCAATTAACCTCCTGGTGCTTTCCTCTTGCAGAAAATCCGAGAGAATCCTGCTTTGACCCTGGCTTGATTAAGAATGGCACCAGGGCTGGAGGAGAGCTGAAGCTGGGCTCAACTATCACATACTACTGTGACAGTGGCTACTTGATCGAGGGGGCGTCCACCCTGACGTGCATCATGGGAGGAGACGGGAAACCTGTGTGGAACAAACCACGGCCTACTTGTATAGGTGAGCTTGGCAGATGAACTTCCCTTTAAGTGGCACAGTTTGTAATAGGAGTCAGACAGTTCAAGAGGTTCTTGTCCAGACCCCCTCCATTTTATTTATTTATTCAATTTATACCCCACCCTCCCCGCCAAAGCAGCTTCAGGATGGCTTACAAAGGATAAAACATAAAAACAATGCTAACATATGTAAAACATATAAAACCATATAAAACAATCCTATATCATAAAGTGCTAGCTAGTTGTAAACTACTAGTTAGAGATGGCGGCAACAGTTATGTTAATATAATCTCTGGTCTGCCTTGCTCATCAGCTTCTCGATCTTTATCATATATGTGGCAGGTATAGGCTGTAATGGTGGAATTAGGGCATGGGCTCTGTCTTTAACAAGGCCAACAACCCAAATATTTCAAGCCATATCTTAGCGCCGTTCCAGGTTGCGAGATCAAATGTGTAGTAATGAAAAATCACCCATTAAGGTACATCCCATTCATGACATCCAGTCAACAGCACAGTGTAATGAAATATGTATCAGGCACAATCTTTGCTTAGGGTGGATTCTGAATTTCCTTAATGAGAGTTAGCAGTGTGCCTTCTTGCTTGCCGTGCATTGAATTAACAAGGCTCAGCTGGGCATTTTCAAAAGTAAAGCTGAGGGAAAGGAGAGAGCGACAAGCTGGAGGACTGGTAACTTGACAGCCCTGTTTAATCTATTTCAGCACCCTGTGGTGGCCAGTACACGGGTTCGGATGGCATCGTCCTGTCTCCAAACTATCCCCGGAATTACACCAGCGGACAAGTGTGCCTGTATTTCATCGTGGTTCCCAAGGACTACGGTATATCCCGGATGATCGTGAACCCCTGCTCTCTATTTGGGTCTCGCTAATTCTGTTTCCACTCACCAGGGACAGCCCAAGACATTTGGGTGCCTGAGACAGAGCATCCAAAATCGTATCCCACATGATGGTAGAATTATTAGAACTGGATAATTAGCTTTTTTTTTAATGGTACCCAAAATCTTCAGGTTGAGGTGGGCTTCTTCACCCAGCTGAATGGTGCCTCGCTTTCCTGGGATAGGCTCATGGAAAGGATTTAACCAGTTTATGACAGTGGATTCTACTCACCGCCTTTTTGTTAAGTGGGGCTATGTGTTTCCTTTTCACTAAAGTAGGGGAAGGGGCTGAGAAAAGGAGCTGCAATTTGGAGCAGTGCTGTGTGCTCTGCTGTGTGCTCACAAGATAGCTTTAGGAAAGGCACGCTCTCACAGCCTTAACCCCTTCACCTGTACTGTGGGGGATAGTAACAGTGGCATACCTTTCAGGACTCTCGTAACTATTACAAGGTAATTTTAAGTTATTTGACTACTCAGCCCTATATATATGCTGTCTTTTTTTAAAAAATCAAAATTGTATATCAAATTATGTCCTGAAAATATTTAATTCTGCAACCTGTATACAAATACAGATTAAGAACATAATCCCCCCAACCCTAATTTTACATAACTGTGTGTTGTCTTTATTATAGTTTATAACATTTATACCTCCACCTTCCTGCCCTCATAACAGCCACCAAAGAGGCTAACAAATTAAAAACATGATAAAATTGAATCTTAAAAACATTATAACTGGCAAAAACACATAATTAAAACAATTAAAACCAGAGCTAAAATACACGTAAAACATAAACACAACAATTAAAACATTGGGCTGGAAGGAGGGATTATTACATGGTCTTTCATTAGTACAGTCATTACATATGGGGAGGGAGGAGATGGCAGAGCACTGAACTGCCCCCCCCCTCGGTGCGTCATTGGAGATCCGATTCAGATCTTTCTCATCTGGCTTCTGCTTACAGACAATGCTGTCATGCTTTTTGAAAGAAAATGAAAGCAGACATTCTCAGGAAGTTGAATTCTGTATTCTATGTTGTATTCTGTGCTTTGCTACATAGAATCCTATATATATAATTCCCTTACGTATTGGCCATTTCCAGCTCTCCCATTGACTGTGCAGTGTGCTCCATCAGCCATTGGCCTGTCAACCGCCACTCAAGAGTACTCGCATGTCATTGGCTGGGTGCTGGGTCCACTCCTCCCCCCCGCCCACTGCCAGCCTGGACACTCTTCCCTCACAGAATAAACTATCAAAACAGCTGTCTCTCCTGATGAAGACACTTCTCCTTCTTGGCTCCTGTGGGACTAACTTTTCCCTCATGGCTGTTGCTAGGCAACCAAGCTTGGTTCTGTCAGTAAAAACGCAAAGGAAGGAAAGCCTTTCCAGTCCTTTGTGGGGAACTCATTGGGGCCAGTCCTGACTAGGGTTGCCAGCTCCAGGTTGGGAAATTCCTGGGTATTTTGTAATGGAGTCTATGGAAGCAAGAGTTTGGGGAGGGGAGAGGCCTCAGCTGAATAGAATGCCATATAACCCACCCTCCAAAGCAGTTATTTTCTCAGGGTGGGGGGAGAGATCTTTGTCTGGAATTCAGTTGTGATGCCCAGCAAACTTCAGGCTCCACTTGGAGGTTGGCTACCCTCGGTGTAGCAGTTAGCGCTTCAGAGCAGGGTCTTCCAGACCCAGGTTCTTGCTGTAGAAGTTGAGTGGGTGATTTTGGACCAGTCACAGACTTTCAGCCTAACCTACCTCACAGGGTTGTTGTGCAGATCAAAAGGAGGAGAGGAGAATGATGTAAGCTGCTTTGGGTTAGGGTTAGACTGTACTTTTCCTAGGTAGAGGCTACAGGGAGGGGGGAAGAAATGGAAACCTGAAGTCAGAGGGGCAGATAATGGTATGTTGATGGTTGGCTGGGAAGGAAATAGGGTTGCCACCTCTGGGTTGGGAAATTCCTGGAGATTTGAGGGGTGCAGCCTGGAGAGGGTGGGGTTTGAGCAGGAGTGGGACCTTAGACAGGTACAATGCCATAGACCTCCAAAGGAAGTTTAGAAAACTTATAGAGGACCAAAAGTTAAAAACATGAGTAAATAGAGACAAAGGAGTGTTTATTTCAAAAACATATAGAAACCTTGTAGGGGCCCAACTAAAGCCTCATAAAATGTTAAAAGTGACAAATGCACAACAAAGAACAGTGTATGACCTGACACATTTCGGCTCACAAGAGCCTTCTTCAGAGGTCAAATAGTACAAAGTGTAAAATACACCAAGCAACAGAGTCCCTGTAACACATGTAAGACAATAAACAATTAATAGTACAGGTCCAAAAATGGAATGTTCCAATATGGAATTGAATGACACACCAAAAGATTTATATTTGGGGCCACAAATATATCTGGCCTTCTGTCAGAAGTAGTTGTATATACTGGAAATAATATCAGTACCAATATGTACCTTCCAGTTAAGGTCCTAAGACTGCAAGTAAAATTGCCTTATCAGGGACAATGTGACATCAAGATAGGGTTGGCACCTCCAGGTTGGGAAATTCCTGGAGATTTGAGGGATGGAGCCTGGAGAGGGTGGGGTTTGTGGAGGGGTGGGACCTCAGACAGGTACAATGACATAGACTCCACCCTCCAAACCAGCCATTTCCTCCTGGGGAACCATTGTTGCCAATCTCTAGGGGAAGGCTGGAAATCACTCAGAATTACAACTGCTCTTCAGATGGCAGTGATCACGTTAGCCAAATGGCTATATTTCTTTAAGAAAAGGTTGGGGGATTTTGATATTAATGTTCAATTGCCATAACTATGGTATCATGACCTTTATATACCAGAGTCCCACTTTATCCAAGTTCCAAAAATAGACACAGAGACAAGGTCTTTAAAAATCACTAGTTTCTTTTACTGAGGGAATATTCACACACACACAAATATAAAATCAAGTAATTAAAACACACAATATAGAGCCAGGAAATTAAGGTAGAAAAATCTAGAGACGTTTGCATTAGCAGGTATTTCATTGAGGGGTGATACGTACCTGTCCAGATGCAGTGAGTAGAATCTGCAGCAAAAAATAGAATGACACTAAGGGAAGGGATCGTGTTCTGACCGGCAGAGCATGTGGAAAGTTCCAAACAGCACTAGGATGGAACCTAAGAGGCGGGGGGGGGGGAGCAGAGAGAGAGAGAGAGCAATGGGGTGGCTCTTTCCTTTTATACCCCAAAGTGACTAAAGGCAGATGTTTGCTCTGTCACATAGTCCTTCAGGAAATACTGGAAAAATCCAGATGGGTCATGAGAATGGGATTATTGGCTGGGCAATAGAAATACAGTTTCTCTAATAGTAATATCACTCAGAGAGAAAGATAGACTAAAGGTGAGAAAGGATTACCAGTCTGGCAGCATCTTTGGTAGTTGATTCAACAACCAGATGTTTAAACAGCGGCATCATCAGGATGGGTGGCTGGCAGATGAACTTCCTTCCTAATCCTATCATGGGAGAAGCTTCTTTTGTTTAGGTTGAGGCTGTGTACGTGCTTCACCTGAGGATGTCAATATGCAAGAGGTGGGGGGGATGCCTGCATGCTGGAGAAGAGAGCTTTTCATGGCATCTGGGCAGGAATATCCCTGGTTCTTGTCGCTGAGAATGGTTTCTCTTCTGGAACAGCTGCTGGATCTCTGTGTGAGCAGGATCAGGGAGGCTGGTTTGCCATCTACCCGCGTTTGCAGTGTCTGTGGGGATGCAGGGATGGGTGGCATCGGGTGTTCCATGGGTTGACGTCTGGTTTAACATGCTGCTTCTGTACAAGGTTTCCCTTGGCTGGGCACATGTCTTCTGTCCAGTAAGTTGGCATTGTCTCATGGGCACCATGTAGTCCATTTCCCCTGGCACACTGTTTGCACAGTCCAGCTATACAGTTTATAAGCCATATAAAGTGTCAGCAGGCTAACAATCAGTTAGAAAATGGTAAACTCTGCTGAGGTCACCACAGCAAATTGACACTGAGTGCCCAAGGCCAGGGCACTCTCCCAGAGCCTCTTTCTAGAGCTCATTGTATTTATTTCCACAATGGGCCTTATTCCTAGTGGCTACATAAACACACTGCCTCTTATGAAATATGCAGTAAATTGTTACTAATGGAAGACGTCCTTTGAAATCTCTTGGTGTCTGGTTTGTTTTCCCATCAGTTTTCACACTTTCCACCTTTAGGGAAGGCTTTCCATGCCCATATGTTTGGTCAGGAGCCCCTGCACACCACCAAGGGATCTGGAGTTTATTTCAGTTCACATGCTTAGTATAAATGCCTCTTCTGTCCAGTAAGTTGGCATTGTCTCATGGGCACCATGTAGTCCATTTCCCCTGGCACACTGTTTGCACAGTCCAGCTATACAGTTTATAAGCCATATAAAGTGTCAGCAGGCTAACAATCAGTTAGAAAATGGTAAACTCTGCTGAGGTCACCACAGCAAATTGACACTGAGTGCCCAAGGCCAGGGCACTCTCCCAGAGCCTCTTTCTAGAGCTCATTGTATTTATTTCCACAATGGGCCTTATTCCTAGTGGCTACATAAACACACTGCCTCTTATGAAATATGCAGTAAATTGTTACTAATGGAAGACGTCCTTTGAAATCTCTTGGTGTCTGGTTTGTTTTCCCATCAGTTTTCACACTTTCCACCTTTAGGGAAGGCTTTCCATGCCCATATGTTTGGTCAGGAGCCCCTGCACACCACCAAGGGATCTGGAGTTTATTTCAGTTCACATGCTTAGTATAAATGCCACAATGGCAAGGTCTTTTGGGTCCTCTGTAGTATTGCATGTGAACTGTGGGCATATCTTAGAATATGCTTTATGTTCCTCTGTGGCTGTGCATTGCAGGAGAACAGTAGTAGGTGGGCTAGTTGCCTTTTTCAGGGAAAGATTCCCACTGCTGATCTTCTTCACTGA